TAGGCTTTTGTGAAAATCAGTTGAGAGAACATAAATTGCTTAATGATCCTTTGGCATGTAGTAAACACTCACTGTATGTTAGCAATGGTAATAACTTTGATATCTGACATAGCTTGCATAAAAAAAAAAAAACAAACCAGAAAACAATAGTTACTGGATGGAACAATGTTTTTACTTTCTTCATTGCATCATGTTGTATTTTCCAAATGGAAAAATCAGATAAATAACATGTTTGTGATTTTTTTTTAAAGCATCAATAAAAACAAGTATTTTTCTTAGTACACAGGGATACCTAGTATTTAAATGTAATTACATGTGAGAATATACGGAATTATTTGGCACATTGCCTGGATGACACACAAGAGTTATCCCAAACACTTGCTGGGATGGCATTGTTGGGTGCTCACACCCCTTCCTTTATTATTGGTAATTTCTTCCCATTTTCTCTCACTGGAAAAATTCCACATTAGTCACCTGCCCAGAGGCCAACTTATTGAAGTTGCATTCTCAATAAACTTTGGATTTTTGAGGGAATTTAATGTGATCATTCAAAGAATGAAAACACTCTAAAAAGCTTTGGTGTTTTACATGTAGTAAGTGTTCTAATTTTCAAAGAATAACTTCTAACTATGCATCACCACCCCAGTAAAACACTGTGTACATTCTTGAGGCCTCCCCTATATTTAAAGATTCATATTCCTTTCAGTTATGTGTAAGCGGAGAAGCACCTTTTTAATAATTCAGTTACAGCCTGGACCTATCATAATGTTCTGCATCATAAGTTTTCAGAAGAGACTATCAGAACAGATGTCAAACAAAACTTCAGTAGAGTTAACCTTGCATTCTAATTCTTGGATACAAGGCCTAAAGCATAGGAGGGCTCCACATCTTAGAATACAAATGCACGCTGTTATTATTATTAAGTTGACAAGATATACTGTACATATACTTGCTCGAGATCAGCAGTTCTCCAGTGTAGTCTCCAAACCAGCTGCCTCAGGACAACCTGAGAATTTGTTCTGGCAATGCCCTGACTAGAATCTGAGAAATCTAATTTTGGAGTACTCCTTCTGATCAGACTCAAGGTAGACAACTTCCCTAGAAATGCGAACCAATTAAGAACAAAACATCTAGCTGTTTATTAAGCACTAGGATAAAAACATGTAGGCAAAAAAGTTTTGGCTATCTGGATAAAGTTCCCTGGGGAAGAAAAAGAACCTTATACAAGTTTCATCTTACTCTTCCCTAATTAATTGGACAATTTGATTAGATATCAAGAAGTCACCAACCCATGGGCCCATAGCAGAATGGAATGTGTGTTGTTTTGGGGTTGTTTTTTGGGGGGCAGAGGGTGTTTGCGGGGCAGGAGGCCTGGCGACTGAAACCAGTGTGCACTCTACAACTGAGCTACACCCACAGCCATTTTTATTTTGAGACAGAATCCCACGAAGTTGCTGAGGGTATCCTTAACTTGAGATCCTCCTGCCTTAGCCTCCTAAGGAACCACCAGCCTGGCAGAGCAGAGTTTAAAAGAGGACCACTTAATTAACTTCTCATCATGATAGAAGCAGCAGTCTCTTGGTGGAATGAAACCATGTACAGTTAAGGCTCCAATGCCTCTCTGTGGTCTGTTGGAAAGCTCTGGGAAAGTCACACCATATAAATGAAACGGCAATTATTCATATACCTGTTTGAATAGTCTTCAGTTTTGAAACAGCTGCTGCTTACCAGTCATGCCATCTTAAAAGAGTTAAAAATCAAAAATACCATCTCTTAACCACAAAATACCTCCCATATCACTTTGTACAGGAACTTAATGCTAATTATCATGCTGATAATAGTTTTTGTCCTATGAAATACAAGAAATAACTAGCTATAAAGAAAGTGTTAACAAACCAATCTTACTAGGATTTTTTTTTTTTTTTTGCTCAGTTTCATAGAAGAGCTATGTGGTAGAAACCAACAAACAAGGTGTAAAGACAGAGAGGTTAAAAAAAAATCAAGATATATAATTTGCTGATAAAAATAATGAGGAAAATATTTACATAAATCAGTGAAAACAAACTTATTGATATACCTACAATATTACATTGCATGGTATGTAAGAGAATTGTGCACACTGTAAATATTTAAATTAAATGAAGAGGAAACTTGGGAGAGTTAGGGGAAAACATACACACATACATCACTCTTAAGATGTAAAAGAATACAGAGCCCATAGTAAAACCAGAACTTAATTCTATGTCCTTTGAGCCCATGGGGACATTGCTTCCCTGAGATTTGGTTAGTTTTTAGGGACAATGATACCATTTCCTGAGATTTTTATATGTAAAACTGCCTAGCAGCATAGTCCTTGACACACAGAATGACCAGTGTCCCACTGACTCAGAATTGCTGACTCCTACTTTGTACTCCATGTTCAAGACCAAGGGGAACATCTGGCACATGGGTTCTTGCTGAGAGCCACGGCTGAGTCTGCAAATGCCGCAGTCTGGCTGGGCACAAATCACGAGCCACTGAAGCAGGAACAAACTTTATTTTTAAACTGCAGGAAAATACTTCACACAGCTCCCGGGGAATCCTCCAGAACGCGCCACGAGGCTTGTCCAGGAACCCCCAGCCGGAAATAAATCTCCCGGAAATCCCTCCTCCTGCACTTCCCCAACCAATGGGAACTCTCGGGGAATCCCCGGAAATCCCCACGAGAACTCCAAAATAGTGCGAGAACTGGGCAGAGGCGGATAGTAATGCCTCGCCTGTCAATCAATACTGTTGGCAAAATGCCAGGGGCCATACAGACTCAGCCGTGGCTCTCAGCAGGTTCTCAACAATCACATGATCCCAACCTTCTGAGGGAGAGGAGAGGCAACTGCTCACGCCACAGCTCAGGAAAAAATCTTCCCACTCGTGCCCTCCAATAGCAAGACAACCACCACTCATGTTCCTGCTCACATGCCCACTTCTGACCCCCAAGACCCTGAAAAGCAGGCACAATTTTTTTTTTTTTTTTTTAATCATTTTCACTAAGTAAGAAACAAGTGTCTGGCCCATTTTCCAAGATTCTAAATTCCATGAACAATGGGCCTAGCTTGCATTAGAATACCTCATACAAGACTCCTGCCATCAAGCCAGTCTCCCATCCAAAGTCAAATGGAATTGGTTTCATTAGATTGAAGACAATCTATGAAGTCAGGCATAGTAGTGTATGCCTGTAATTACAGCAACTCAGGAGGCTGAGATAGGAGGATCGAGTTTGAGGTCAGCATGAGCAACTCAGTGAGACCTTGTCTCAAAATAAATAATAAAAAGGTGCAGCGATGCAGTTCATGAACCCCTGGGTTCAATCCTCAGTACCAAAAAAAAAAAATTGTATGAATTAAGATTCTCAGAAAAACCCTATTAGAAAAAGAATACCTGAGGCTAGAAAACTGTATATAAAGCATGAAGGAAGATAAAGAATGCCCCCACCCCCCACCCCCAACAAAAACAAGACCATTTCTTTACCAGGAAACCTTTTCAATGTGCCTCCCCTTCTCAGCGGACTGTGGTTACACAACAAGGAACCAACACTTCCCAGTCTACCTTTTGTCAATCTGCCCTGGGACTTCATCTCTGCCAGTGGACTGGCAAATGGAAGCAATGAAATAAATCCTTTCCCTAGACATCTGTTTCGTCTCCACTGCTGCAATTACACAGCCACATTGTTGCCTTGAGTCCCTGGGTTTTAGATGGGAGAGAAACAAACCCTTGTGGCCTTTAGTCATTTAGAGTTTGTTAGCCCTCTGTCACGGCAACTGAAACTTTAACTTACAATTAGAGAAAACCAGAAGGCAGGTGGAAGAGAGAACAGAAAAAGTCAATGCTACATTAATAAGCCACCCAAATCTGGAGCATAAAAATCTACTTCATCTTACAAGGAAGGGGTGAGAGAGAAATCAGCTTTAGTAATTAGGGGTTTGCCATTCACTTAGTGAAAAGTGAAAATATTTAATACACTTTGTACATAAATATTTCTTTTGGCAAAAAGCAAACAAAGTAACATTTTTAAGTATAAAAAAGGCCTTAATGACAAACGAAAAATATTAAGACACACTGCCAACAACTTGCTGCATCATAAGAAAATAAGAACATTAAAAATTCCTTAGGTGCTATTTTTAAATAGCTAGGAAAATTGGCTTAAAATTATTAGCCATTCTTTTCTAAAATACAACAGTAAATAACAGGTACATGAAGAATAAGTCATGTAGCCTTTCCAGGGGGAAACATGCTTGGCAACTTATTAAAAGCCTAGGGTTACAGATTTCATCTAATCAAATTAGTAAAACCTTGTTCACAAAGATAAAGACCAAAGAATAATGACAGATTGCAATGGCTGGAAATGCAGGGATAGCCTTAATGAGAGAGTGGGGCTGAGTGCTAGATATGGCTGGATTAAGTAAATTATATAATAGATTAAATAAGTATTAATGAAGTTGAAGCAGGTCAGCTTTCCACCTTTCTCTTATGGGGACATGAACTCTGGAGCTCTCTGAGCAGCATAAATTATAATATAAAACCCAAGTCACCTAACATTTTTTGAAATGTGAAGCTTATGAAGACATATAGATTTGAAAAGATGGAACTTTCCAGAGAAAAGAGATATTCTGCCGTCCAATGAATCACCAGGAAAAAGTAGACCTTAATTTGTGATCTTGAAGCACAAGAGTTTCATAACAACAAACAAAAAAGACTCTTGAAGAATAAGTAACTGTAGTTTCCTAAATTAAACTGCCATTAATATACCTTCAGTTCCTCGCGATTCTTACTCTTGAGTTTCCAGAAAGTCAGAAGCGTTTGATGGGTTCTGTTTTCACGAGCAGGAGTCCACAACCACACGCACGAAGAAAGAAACACATTTTCAAACTTCTTCTACAAATGTATGGACTCTACTTACCAAACCCACGTGGATGATCCCAAAGCTTTGATTAACAACAGTAAAGAAGGAGAAGGAGAACCACTTATTGGTACTAAAGGTTTTACTGTATTAAACCAAATATATTTACAATTTATACAAATGTTTAACCTTCAACAAAAATACAAAAAAACATTTCACAAGATGCAAAACCAGGAAACAAGTTCATTGGAGACACCACTGCTCTACAAAGGACGGAACGCAAGGTGAAGTGCAAGGACAGGAAGGAAATCTCACTCAGGCCAGGTGTGGGCGACAGATCCTCCAGCGAGACTAGAACCGGCTGCAGCTCAGGTTGGCAGATTCCGTTCCTCAGTCCTACGCCCCTTGGCCCCTCTGTCCAGGTGGTCGCGGTGCTCCATTTGGTCTAGGTAGGCGACCTTCTGTTGAAGGAGTCGTTGCCTCCTCTTTGTAGACTCAAAGTAGTTTTGTGTCAAGGTTTGGAAACAGGTCTGTGTGTGTGTGTGTGTTTTCTTTTAAAGTTACAACTTTTCTATTTCTACAAATTCAAAACATTTTGGCCCAATTCAACTATAAACGTTAAATCACATGTTTTCAGTAGATGACTTCATAGACTGTGGCCTTCTTATCCCCTGAGCCAGTGACTATGTATTTATCATCCACAGAGATGTCACAGCTGAGCACTGACGAGGACTCTTTGGACTGGAAGAGAAAACAATGGGCAAGTGTTTAATGTGGAACCTGGGTACAAAGGGGCCCTGCTCCCTCCATGGTTCCTTCACTTCTGGTTTCACAGGTGACGCTGTTGTCGAATTGCCATTCTACTAGGTAAGGAGTTTTTACATACCTGGAATATACTGGCTCCATAGGGGGTTCGCCAAGCATTGAGGAGGTTATCTTTTCCAGTACTCACAAACCACTTACCTAGAATTAACAAAAAATACGAAGTTTTTAACAAAATTAAAATTCCTATAATAGTGTTGGCACCTTGAACTTAATCAAACAGAGCACTGCTATTGCATGAATAATCATATCAAAAGAATTGGTCTATGACCTGAGTAGAGGTTTTAAATCTGGGCTCCCCAGTGAATTATCTGTATGATCCCAGTAGAAGAGGGTGACAACCTCATTAGTCACTGGACACGACTTGTACGACCATATTCAACACATAGTAGCCCCTCAAATATTGAATCAGTGAAGTTGTTTCACTTTGGACAGTCTCCTCATGACTAAATGGGATTGCAAAGAATTAAATATTGAATTTAATAGGGCACAGTGGCACACTTCTATAATCCTAGTGACCTGGAAGGCCGAGGCAGGAGATTGCAAATTCAAGACCAGCCTCAACCACTCAATAAGGCCCCAAGCAACTCAGCAAAACCCTGTCTCAAATTTTAAAATAAAACAGATCTGGGGGCTGGGGATGTGGCACAAGCGGTATCGCGCTCGCTTGGCATGCGTGCGGTCCAAGTTCGATCCTCAGCACCACATACAAACAAAGATGTTGTGTCTGCCGAAAAATAAAAAATAAATATTAAAATTCTCTCTCTCTCTCTCTCTTTCAAAAAAAAAAAACAGATCTGGGTATGAGTCTCAGCAGTCATGAGACCCTGGGTTCAACTCCCAATACTGCCTAACACCCAGCCCCAAATGTTGAACTTTTGTAAAATGCCAGTCATGTTATACAGCATATAGATTGTGCTCAATGAATGTCAGCTAACTAATCCCTTTATCCTTTCACCTATCCACCCAGAGCACAAGTACAGTCTTCACATGAACTTTTCTCCTTGCTGTAACATGGAAGAATAAAGGTATAGCTAAAACCCCCCCTTTTTTTAACCCTGGGTTCCTCATCTTGGCCAGTTCACAATGACTTCCACTGTTCCTGCCCAATTCTTCTAAAGATTCCTGCCTGCCCTTCTTCTGCAGAGTGGTAACAATTGACCCACACCCCCACTCAAAACAAGTATGTGTCCAAACCTTGTATTAGGCAATTTTATCTCCTGCTGACTTTTCTCAAATTAGCAAAACAGACTGAAACAGACATTACCATGCTTGGAGGAACATATTAAAACAATAGAATTATTGCATCCAGCTGCTCAGAGAACAACATTTTTTCCAGATAGAATCTCTAACCAGATTTTTTTTAGAAGTATTTTCCCATTTAGGCCATCAATGACCTCCAGTTTCCTTTCAGTGGAACTCACCACAATAAGCAAATTTGAGGGACAGCACACAGCTCTCGTGGAGATGCAGCTGGTACTTGTCAGGCTTGTTCACATGCAGCACTTCCACGTTGCTGCTCTCCATGCCCACAGCTAGCCACTCCCCAGTTGGGCAGTATCCCAGGGAGAAGATCTGTAAGAAGCAGAACAGGGTCACTGATTATTTTGCTCAATAAACTTAGGAAGTGAAAAGGCAACCAGAAAGGCGGGTGGGGGGAGCAGGAGTAAGGACGAGAGGGGATCAGCCAAATCCAGACTGTGGGAAAGTGGACAAGGACAAGAGACCCAGCCCAGAGGAACCAAGTGTCAAAAACCTTCATGGAACAGCTGGAAAACTTTGAACACTTCCCTCATACGTGATGAAATTAAGGAATTATTCTTAATAATAGTGGCATCTGTTTGTGTGTTTTAAAGCCATCCCTATCTTTTTAGAGTCACTGATGAAAATACTCAGGGATAAAATGACATCTAGAATTTACTGTGCTTGGGGTGAGGATGACACAGTGACAAGACTGGCCATGAACTGATAACCACCAAAGCTGAAGGATAAGCATCTACAAACAGTACTCTGTATTTTCAGATACATTTGAACACTTTCTATATTTGTATAAATTTGAAAATTTCCATAATTTTTTTTTAAAAAAGGAGAAGCCAAAATTAATATCCTACTTATTAGGATATAAGGAAAGGGTACCACAGGGAAGATTATGAAAAAAAAAAAAATCAACCAAATGTTAATAGAAACATAAAATGTGTTAGGAGTCTTATTTTTCTGGGCTGCATTATTTTAATGCCAAAAAAGGGTCTGAAAGTGCCAAGTGATGATCAAAAGAACAATTCTACCAGCAGAAAGCACTTAAAATGGCAAGCACACTCTTAACCCAAAACAATTCTAGAGCCAGACACTCAAAAAACTACTTTCCACAATCCACAAAGTTGCCATTTTTATATTATTTCAAAACTCTATAAATCTAGCTGGCCATGAGTCCATTTTTCATAGGATAAGTAATAAGATGGGCATCCACTGAGATAATGCTGCATTTTTTTTTTTTTTAAAGTACTGGGGATTGAACCAATGGGCACTTAACCACTCAGCTACATCTCCAGCCTTTTTTATTCGAGGACAAGGTTTTACTAAGTTGCCAGCTGGCCTTGAACTTGAGATTCTCCTTCCTCAGGTTCCTGAGTTGCCGGAATTACAGGCATCTGCCACTGTGCCTGGCCTACTACACTTTTTAAGGCTCCTTGATGCAGGGCAAATGAATGAACTTTCAGAGCTGTTGTGACTTTCCCTACCCTGAATATTCTTCAAGCTCTATTTAAATGAGAATCAAATAATCATCTCTCACTCCACATTAGATGGTAAGAATAGGTACCACACACCAGCAGAGCTGGATATAGTCTTCACTGTATGAATTCCCTAAACAAACACATCTGGAAATAAAGCAGTTAACATGTTTTAACCCACAGGATTTTAGAAGCCACTTGAGGAGTTTCAGGGGGTTTTGGTTTGTTTATTTGAATCAGTTCTCTCAGATTTAACCCCGATCTGTTTGTCCTACTGCCATCATCCTGGGGTGGGAAGGATGTCCCACACAGGCCACCTCAGAGATTCCAGGGCAAGCGAAAGCCATTCAGTACCTGTGAGGTGAAGTCATGCTGCTGCAGCTGCCGCCCCTCGCGCAGGTCCCAGGACCTGACTGTGTTGTCCAAACCGCCCGTCCAGAGCTTGGTGCCATCATTAGATATATCAATACAGCTGGCTCCGTCTGTGTGGCCCTGGAATTGCCTGATAAAACAAACCAGATTGAATAATGATTTCCTGCCAGAGCTCAAGGTAAACACTGTTGTGTTGTTAGTTTTGGACTCTCTGTATGTCATCTCGTCAGTGTCTGCTGATGTGTAAGATCAAACTAACCTTCCCCCGAGGAGGAAAGGAAACAGCACCTGCAGATTTTATTTTCTTTTTTCACAATCCAAGGGCTAAACAAATGCACTGCCATTGGAGGTTGCTACCCAGAGGTCAAATATGCTACTATGGCTTCTTTGATGAAATCTGTCTAGAAGAGAAAACTCCTCCCAGCTCTGGAAAGTGTTTAAGTGTTAAAAGAAACAAAGGACAAACACACAAAATCTCAAGTGTATGCCTTAAGGAAAGATTAAGGTACTGTACTTCAGTGGTGAAACTTGAATCCAGGAAAGTGGCTACCTTGTAAGCACTGGGACAGAAGTATTCTCATTCAATGAGCAAATCAACATGGCAATGCCCTTCCTCCCAGCAAACCATGAGATCACCTGTTTGCTCAACCTTGCTTTCTGAATTAAAAAGAGCCCTGTGTTAGGAAATCTGGACTCCCCGAGACAAAGGGTCACGCTGGCCTCCTGACCTCAGAGGCACAGGGCAGAGACCAAAATAATTACGGAGGCAGATTGGTGGACACTTTGGCAAGACCTTGTCTTCAAGCTGAGCACAAGGTTTTTCATGACAGGAAAATCTCATACAGCATTCAAAAAGCACCACCCAAACCAACTAGGACAGGGATTTGCTGAGCACAAGTGGCATACAAGGCAACAGGTGGGACCTGCTATGGGGAGGTCACCAAGGCTGGTGGTCCATGATGGTGACTATCAGGGACTTGGTTCTGTATGCTGAGAGGGAGTTGGCAGAAGTGGCCAGGACAGATCAGGATCCACCTTCAGAACCTGGCAAGACCTGGCAAAGAAGTGCTTGGGAATTCTGACATTCAGAAGAAGGTTTCCATGCCTTTTCTTCCTCTAGAATGCAAACCTAATTATTCCCACCGAGCTCCAAATTCTTTTTTTTTTTTTTTGGGGGGGGGGGGGGGGGGGGGGGGGGGGGGGGGTACTGAGAATTGAATCCAGGAGCATTCTACCAGTGAGCTACATCCCCAGTCCTTTTTATTTTGAGACAGGGCCTCACTAAGTAGCTGTGGCTGACCTTGAACTTGCAATCTTCTTGCCTCCGCCTCTCAAATTGCTGGGATTACAGGTGTATGCTACTGCACCCACTCAGAGCTCCAAACTTTTAAGACGAGCTTGGAATTTGAAAGAGTATAAGGGAAGGAAAAATTACCACTGTTGCCCTGAGCCAAGACGAGAACCATTATTTCAAAAAATTTACCCTCTATAAGCTATTCTGAATGTCTACAATTGTCCCAGGACCTCTTTTCCCACATGCCCCAAATCTTTCCCCCACTGTAGCCAGGCACAGCATCCCAACCAGGCCAGTACTCCTCCAAGTCCCCCCTACAAGTCCCCCAGGCACTGCCTTGCCTGTATTTCTTTCCTTCAAATTTTTTTGGCAATTCAGGGATTCCCTCTTCCCTCCAGTCTGACTTCTTTTCATCTCTTCAACTCAGCAAATGTTTAATCCTTCACCCTAAATATCACTCTCTATCAACTCACAGCCCCCAATGGATGTTCCTCCATCCTACCACCCTCCAAGAGAATATCTCCACATTACTCCCAAGCTACCAGACCAGAAGGCAGAATGTGCAGGGTCACAGGCGCACAAAGATTCTTCATTGCCCTGTCACACACAGCAGTCACATGCAGTCAGTCCAAATTGAGAAAGAGATGTGTCGAGCCCTACCCTCTTACATCTAATAGGCACTGACTTCAAGAGAGCCAGCACAGAGCAGGGGTTCTGGGCACAGACAGGAGAGCAGGATGTCTGGGCTCCAATTTCAGCTCTTTCGTATCTGACTGTGTGACCCATGGCAAATAACTCTGTACGTCAGGTTTTTCATCTACAAAATGTGGAGAATAGCAGTGCAGATGTTATAAGAACTAAATGGGCTAATATCTGAAAAGTGCTTACAATTTGAATTTGGGAGGGAGGGAGAAAAGGAGGAAGGAAAAAAAAATTAAACCAAGTAACTGTAGCTAGGCTAAAAGGGACTTTGGGCTCCAGCTCCACAAGTCCATTTTGCTCACTCTGCACTATGTCACAAATGTCATTCGCATGCAGAGACAGAGCTGGGCTTGGTGACACTGGGTTTCTACAAGAAGGTTTAAAGAAAGAGTGCGCTGCTTCGATGATGTCTCTGGGTCATCCCTTTTCTGTGCACACACACAACCAAAAGCATTAGAGGGGGCCAGCCTAATGAGCCACAGGCCTCAAACTACAGCATGAACAAGATGGTTTCTGAGCACAGATAAAATGTGGCAAAAAGCCAAGCACACCCGGACTTCTACCATTGATGTTTTGTTAGTGCTTTACTTTTAGAAGACTTTCCCGTAATGCTTCTGTGTGAGCACCAGCCAGGGCAGCCGAGCCACAGCAGTTGCCAGGGTGAGGAGGGCAGATTCCAGGAAGCAAGCAGAGCCCTGTTCACTCCTGAGTGGAATGACCCCTAAATGAGTCTTTTATTTACTTATTGAGAAACATGGATATTTTAAAACCATTTTTGTGGATTCAATTCATGGACTCTCCTTTTTTCCTTTCTGATGTCCTTTTGTTGACTTTTTTTTTTTTTTTGGTTATCTTATCAGTTGACTTCTGTTTGCATAAACAAGGTTCTAGACAAGGCCAAAAACATCTAGAATTGAGAGCCCTTCATGCTTCCATGTAATTCATGTTATGCTATGCCACCCCTTGGCAAAAGCTAAACTTGGCTTCTATATGCACACTGAAGAATAGGAACAAGAAAAGGATGAAGTCCTGGTCACCGTCCGGCACAGCACCAGGACCAAAAGTTCCCCGGAGCACCTAGCTCCACACCTGGCACACAGTAGGCTCTTCACAGATGGACTGCTGCCTGGGGGCAGCCAGAGAAGCAGAGGCGCAGAGGGATCTTCTCCTGAGGCCATCCACTCCTCTCTGAGTAAACCGCTGGTGCTCACCTCACAAGTGTCTGGTTGTGTAGGTCCCACACGGCGATGTTGCCATCACTGCAGCATGAGAAGCAGACCTTGGAGTCAGGGCTGATGGCCAGGGCATAGCAGGCAGGGGCTGATGATGTCAACTCTGCCTTGATGCGAGGGGTTGGAGCAGCCAGGTCCCAAATGGAAAGAGTGCTGGCTTCCCCTCCCACAATGAGAGTGCAGCCATCAGGGAGCAATTTACACGAACGGATATAATTATCTCTATTCTGTGAAATAAACATAATTCAATTGCTATGATGCATTACCAAGCAATAACAGTGCCGCATTCACTAACTGCTATCATGGGTTTTGACTTCAGAGTGGCATTTCACAGACTCCCATTTCTATAGTAAATATAAGGGCCCAACTGCCACTGTCCCCTTCCAAACTAACTCATAGGCTTGCTCAGTCATGTGTGATGTCAGATCACTGTTCCTGACTCCCTGCCTCAGAAAGCCCTGAAAGTAACCAGGTGGTAAGGCAGCTCTGCATGCCCTGCTACACCTAGAAACCACTTTTGAATCTGGTCAATCAATCATTTACCTCTTCCCCTCTGTTTGGAAAAAAATGCAGACCCACTGTGCATGTTCTGGTTTCCATTATTCTTAACTATATCTTTCTTAGTCGGAGGATCTTAAAAATGTAACAGCTGCTTCTCTAATTGTAACATAGCGTTTATCCATGTGTGAGCCCCTCAATCCAAAAGCCCAGGAAATCAGTCCAAGAAGGCATCATGCCATCAACCCAACATGTATAAAAAAGGGCCTAATATGACCCACCTCTAGAACCTCAATGGATGTGCTATCCTCCAACCCGAATCCCAATGGGTATGCTTAAAAGGTGGCCTATCTTTCAAAGATCAGAGAAACTTTAAGCACCAACTTTAAAAGAGAATAACTCCTACTACTACAGAATATGTTGAAGTGTAAGTTTCATTAAAGGAGGTCTTTATCTTAAAAATTTTCTTGGTGTATTATAATTACACATACTAGTGGAATTCAGTGCAATATATACGTACACACATGTGACATCATTTGGTCAATTTCATGCCCTGAAATTAACCTAAATGTTCCCACTCCTCCTCCCTCCACAGGAGATATTTTTATGTTGTTTGATTTAAAAAATACAGTAATAACTACCCCAAGTCTGTGTATCTCAAAAACACTGCCACTCTGCTTTTTGGAAACACTCTTCCAGTCAGGCAGGGAGTGGGTAAACTGAGCCATCTGAGATGGTGGAAGGCAGGCTGACATCATCCTGGATGGGCAAAGCAGGGCAGCCCAGTTGACAGTGTGCGTAAGGGCAATGGTATAAGGTCTGTAAATCCTAGGGTTACACTTTAGAGACCAGAATATGTCCTGGAGTGTCTATGTCCCAGAAAAATGCAAACTGGCATCCTCAGATGCTGGCTTATGTGCCCTGTAAAAGTGTTCCTATTGCTCCTGTTTGACTGACATCCTGATCCCCTGCAGTGTCTCCCTCAAACCTTTCCTGAACTTAAGGTAGTGAAACCAAACCAGCTCTCCAGCTCTCCCTAACAACACAGACCCTGTTCAGAATGGCTTTCATGCCACATTATCCAATGTTTACTATTCAATATTTATTTGAAGGCTGTAGGGAAATTAAAAGTGGAATGGATTGCAGGGATCAGAGTCCAGGCCTCACTGTGTTTTCTTGCACTCACTGGAAAACCCCCCTTTATAATACACAGCTACACAAGGACAGCTTTCTGCAAACCACTGTAAAATATTTTAAAAAAGAAATCCATCAACACTGGGCTCTAACCACAGCAACAGCAACAAATGAAACCTTCACTTTTAAGGGAGGGGTGGGGGGTTATGCAGCTAACACAGGAAACAGAAGGGGCTTCCATTTCCTCCTAATGGGAATAAAACCCAGGCCTGGACAGCGATTTCCTTATTGAGTCTCGGGGGAGAAATTACCCTTGTGCACCAGTTCCTGCTCACTCACCAGACAGTCAAGCTGAGAGACAGGGCTCTTGTTGCCAGGGTGGCTGATGTCCCAGACCTTGACACAGCCCTTGCCTCCTGTGTACACGTGCCTCGTGGGGTTGCTGATGGTCACTGCACACACCACCTCCCCATGGTTGAGGGTGTTGATCTGGCGAGCGTGTCGGGGGATTCCGGGTCCAATGAGGGCATCAGGGGGAAAGGGCACAGGCTGCATCTGACCATCTGCAGTGACGTGGAAGGAGTAGGCACTTTTGGAGAGGGGAGAATTGGAGAGAAGAGAGAAAACACACTGAGCGTGAAGGAATCAGTCATGACCCTGGTTCTGCTCTAGAAGGAAGGCAATGAAGAGCAAAGCTTCCCTTGGGATGGTTCCCCTTTTGAAATCAATTTGAGTTGAAGAGCTTACTGATGGAACACATCTAAAATAAATGATAGCTGGAATCTAGGACGTGCCAAAAGAAACTTCTCTTGAACTCTATTTAAAAAAAAAAAAAAAATTAAGACTAAAAAACTGTGCTTACCCATTCTATAAAGCATTCTGTCAAATCACATTATAAAACAATGTGCTTCCAAATTAGCATAAAATATCCCCTCCCATGTATCTCATATAATTGTATGATTTCTTAGTATGATTTAAAATGATCATTTTCAGGGTTTAAAACAAAGCCCTTAAGAACTCATAACTACACATAGTAAGTCGTGTATTTCAATGCTAATGAACAACAACAACAAAAAACACAACTTTTAAAACACACTCATTTAAAGCTGAGGCTCAAACTATTTCTAAATAACCAAAAAGAGATTCTCTTACATCAAGTGGCTCTGTGACAAGAGATTTACTTAAGTAATTTTTTTAAAGTGGGTCTTGCTATGTTACCCAGGCTGGTTTCTAAACTGCTGGGCTCAGTGAGACCATGGCATGTGCCACTGCTCCCAGTAAGACTTTTGTTTTGTTTGCTTTAAAGATTTTAGGTAACCTAAAATCTTTAAAGCAAACAAAATAGAAAAAAAAAAAAAAAGCAAATTAAATAGGAAACCTAAAATCTTTGCGATAGAGATTTTAGGTTTCCTATTTAACAATCTCCCTTGCCTACCTTCATCACTAACCCGTTTAGCCTCAGGCAGCAGCAGAGCTCCCAGCTAAGACTGCTCTTCCCAGCTCTGCTCTGGCCAGGTAGTGCCCATATCAGGACTAATGAGGTGTAGGCAGAAGCTGCTGGGTGTCACTTTACCTAAGTTTTTCATTTGAAATACAGGTGAGAAAAGGTCATAAGGGAACTCTGTGCTTTCTGCTCAATTTTGCTGTGAACCTAAAATTACTATTCTAAAAACCGAAGTTTATCAATTTTTTAAAAGAAAAAAGAAGTAAAGAGAGGGTATGCCTGGTCTCTTCTCTTGCTCCTTCCCAATGCCTGAACTACAAGCAAGATGACTGGAGTTTCTGCAGCCTTTTGGGACCACAAGGTCTCTTTGAAGATGGAAATTAACTGCTAAGGGAGGGAGAACAGAAAGATAGATGCAGAGACCCTGTTATATCATGGGGCTCTGATACCTGCCTTGGGCTGCTGGCAGTGTCTTTTATAGGAAAGAGAAAGAAATAACTTCTATATTACTTAAGCTACAAGGTTGTCTTTCCTCCCATTACAAACAAATGAACTGAATCCTAGTTGCACATTTCTATTTCCATGCCAAGAGTCAAATTATTATTTAAGCTCCAAGAAAAAAAAAAATATTATGGACATTATAAAACATGCACAAAAACAGGAGAGAGGATGGTAGAAAAAAGAAGTGTTTTCACTCCACCTCCCAATGGATAGAGTTCTGCATACCCCAGGTGAACATTACAACTTTCCTTGTCTTATCTGAGGCATTACCAGGACAGCTAGAAGTTCAAACAATAAACACTAAATGGAATATGTACAATCTCCTCCTTCTCACAACCCCACTGGGTAGGCCTAGGTCCTTTCTGGAACTTGTCATTGACACCTTTACATATGTAAACATCATGAGTTATTAATGCAGAGCTTAAATTTTCATTATTTATTTATTTATTAAATACATGACAATAGTGGAATGCATTACGCTCATTAAAATTTTCATTTTAATACTAACTCAAATTCTGTCCTATAAATTAGCAGGTACAAAATTGAAAATTGATAATAAGATATCAAGTCTCTATTTGCCTAAGCTATAAACTCACATACTTTTCCTTGGAAATAAAATGCAGGCTATTATATTCCCTTTATAAAAGCAAAATATCACATACATGGACTTTAATATTCCCAAAAAACACAATCTTTTATATTTGTTATCTCCTGGAAAACTGGTTCCAATAACTCATTTAATATCACTCTTGGTTTGAAAAATGAGCACATATCATAGGAACCATGTATAATATTCTGAGAAATTATTATGCATATAAAACAATATACCTCAAAGCCCTCCCATCACTGAATCATTACATCCTTTTTTTTTGGGGGGGGGGGTGGTACTGTGCATTGACCTCAGGGTGTCATGTGTACTACTCAAGCACTCTGCCATTGAGTTACATATCCAGCCCTTTCACTTTGAGACAGGGTCTCACTAGGTTACTCAGGCTGCTCTCAAACTCGCCATTCTTCTGCCTCAGCCTCCAGAGTTGCTAGGATTACAGGCGTGCACCACCATGGCAGGCTAAATCTCATGTTTTTATCCAGCAGGATTCTTTGGTTGTCTTAGCAATATACAAAGTTCACATAACATTTCAATATATGAATATTACAGTTAGATGAATGGGTAGCTATGCCACTTAGTATGGGAATTATAATCAAATCGTACTTTGTTGTTTTTAAAGATGACTGCTGAACTGCAGGGGTTTTAGTTTATTCAATCCTATTCCTACAAGAATTTTGGACTCCCAATAACTCTAGTAGAGTGAAGTCCAGTGGCTAGCTCTATGACCAGATATCAGGCACCATGACCAGGGTGCAAAAGTGACAAACTTTCTAGGTGATGTTGAAGAAATGACAAGTGAAATTCTACAAAATAAAACAACTGGGTTGTATATATAGCTAAGGAGGAGAAAGGAGCTTCTTCTGAAAGTCCCCTTGCTATGACAGCAATGGCATAGGTGGAGGTAGGTCCTGCTCTCTGTGCACCTTCAGTTAAGGTGGGCACCTACTGGTGGGCACCAACTTCCCATCAGATGCCCCTTCAGTAATCCCAGATTTTCAGGGGAAGAAAATTTTATCTTACTTCAACTGGAACCCTGCTTATTATAGAATTGAATGTTCCAGATTAAAATAGATGCACGAAGTACAGACGGGAGATCTGTATGCTGGTCTTTGGAAGACACCCACTTCTCTCCCAGGTGTCCTCTTCTTTAAACTGCACAGGAGGTCTGTGATCATCATACTGAGGCAATTTAAAATTGATTCACAGTGCAGCGAACTGCTGCCAGAAGCTGTGAACATTTGTCCCAGGGGAAACCCATATGGATGTTAATACATCAGTCAAGGGGGCCTCTGAGGAAGCAGGCAGCACCCGCTGTGCTGGGGAGCCGCATCGAATGAACAAACCAGAACAAAGCAAAGGGCTGATGGTCTCAAGGAGAAATCCAGCGGAAGGTAAAAAAGTGGGGTGAATCAGATGTAGGCATCACTTATTCACCTACAAAAATAACAGGAACCTCCTCAGAGACCATATTAATGGCACATTATGACAATGTTAAAGAAGTCTGAAAAGGAAACTTCTCTATTGGTTGATGAATTATAAAAAGTAAAAACAATCAAGGAAGGGAATCTATAAAGAGATGGGGTAAGTCAACTCCCTTTATTCATGGCGGGTATATTTCCAAACCCCTGGAGGATGCCTGAAACCAGAGAGCACAGAACTCTCTATATACTTACTGTGCTTTTTTCCCCTGTACATACATACCTATGGTAAAGTTTAATATTCAAAAGAGGCATATTGGGATTAATAAAATTAATAATAAAATCAATGATTATAGCAATGCATGCTAATATAAGTTATGAGAATGCGATCTCTCTCAAAATTTTTTACTTTTTGCCTTTCCACATAGAGGAAACACTTCACAGCTTTTCTTCAGTATATCTGAATTGCCAGCATTGCTACTCTTGTGCCTTGGGTCCTCTAGTAAGTCTAATAAGGGTTACCTTAGCACTACAGTACTATAACAATTGATCTGATAACTAAGGCAGTTATCAGATCAATTGTTATAGGGCAGGTAGCATATACAGTGTGGATACACCATACAAGGGGATGATTCACATTCCAGGCAGGATGGAGTAGCACAGTGTGAGATTTTATCACACTACTCAGAAATGCACACAATTTAAAGCTTGTGAATTATAGTGGGTGCAGAGGTGCACACCTGTAATCCCAGCAACACATGAGGCTGAGGCAGGAGGAGTCCAAGTTCAAGCCCAGAATCTTTTAGTGATACCCTGCTTTAAAACTGAAAAATAAAAAGGGCTGGGGATGTAGCTCAGTGGTACAACACCTCTGGGTTTAATCCCCAGGACCAACACACACACACACACACACACACACACAGTAAATTGTTTATTTCTGGACTTCTGCTTAATACTTTCAGACTGCACTTGACCATGGGTAACTGAAACCATGAGAAAGAATACTACAGATAAGGGTGAACTGTAGTATTTATAAATATCCCTCAAACCTGAATTCAGAATGAGTCCAAACACAAAAGACTACACATGGTATGACTGCATTTACACAAGTTCAGACACCAGCAAAGTCATCAGTGATACTGAAGGTCAGGGTGGGGGTTACTGTTGGTGACGTGAAGGGAAACATGAAGGCTTTAGGATCCCTGATCCAGGGCTGGTTCCATGGGTGGGAGCCCTTAGTTAAAAGCAGCTGAGCTACACATACATGAAACACACATCATATCTCAATTCTTAAAATTTAGATTCGTTTATTTATTCAAGACAAAGCGGAGAAAAGGCCTCTAACCTATCAGCCATTAGATTAGGTCCACAGCCAAGTTGACAGCCTAGCCTTTGGCGTTCAGTGGACCTCACATGTAGAGCTCTGGGTCCCCGAAAGCACCAACTGTGGATTTACTACCTGGCTAGCCTGCAGACCGTGTGTCCGTTTCCTGATCTATAACACAGGAATAATAAAATGTAAGAGTTGCCGTATAGTAAAGTATAAAGTTATTAAAAGGATTAAAAGAGATGCCATCTGTGAAACATTGTCATTACTAAACCATGACTTTAACAAA